GATCTCTTAAGGCAACAAAATCTGTTAAAAAAAAAGAATACCGATCAAAGTGCTTTGCACAAACAAAAGATAAAGCCCGCTATTACAGTAATTGCTTCCAACAGTTTTCTTTAAGCATTAGAAGAACTACAGTAAATGTCCATTATAAACATTTTAGAGAAGAGCTATACAAATGGGTATTTACTATGGCTATCTAAAAGAGAGGTTTTTTTTAACATATAGAAATGTAAAAACAATTCTGAATTAATCCAAGGCGTGCGCAAATATTTAAATGCCTCTGACCATTTCCACATATGGGGTGAATGTGCAACAATTTTGCTTCTATGTGATGTAAAGCACCTTAGTATGTATATAACTGGCATTTTAAAGGCCCAGTTTATCAATGTCTTTACTGCTATTGTAAATTAGAAAAGAAATTTAGGGACCAATTAAAACACAATCATGTAAGAATGGAATGAGGAACTCTCACAAATAATTGAGAACACAACACAATATCCCAAAGCCAACAAGTCTGTTAAAATGTCTGCATTTTATGCAGATGAAAAGTGTATTCCAGAATATGAAAAAACACTAGTATTGCCACACATTTTGATGAAAACAGGATAATTAATTAAATCACCTGCCAGTATCTCATTCAAGATGCATTAAACTAATCTTAGAACTAATCTTAGAAAAAAATCAATAGCCGTGATACCAAAACAATATTAAAAAAACAGAACATTTCAGGCTGATGCGGGTAGTAATTGTCATTCCAATTAGATCAAAATTATAATTCAAGGACAAAAAATAACAACTTTGTACTTGACTAAGACTTACTGAATCAACCATGATTCACTCAGATTTCAAGGCTCACATAATATGCCGGGCTAAAATAGGTTAATTTATGGTTCAGTATATCATGTGAACACAGATTAAATCTTATTAGTGTATAGGACAGAACTGCTACAAAAGTGATGTAAGAGCTCACAAGGCCTTTCTGAAGTCTAATACAAATTGCTCCACTTTTAATCAGCTGGAAGAGATTTACATAATTGGCAGAGACAACAGAAATGTTATGAAAGTCTGAATTTTTTGCTTATTTAATTTTTGCTTATTAATTGTGTCCAAATTGTGTACTTATTTATTCAATTCATATTCTACTTTTCTTCCCTGAATTAGACTTAAGGTATTAGTAATAGAAAATGTAATTATACCGCCACCTCAAAATAAATCTGTTATGCTTTGTTTATTCACTCTTCCCTATACTGGTAATTTCCAAAGATGTTGGACTAAAACCCAGCAAATTCTACTTTTCACTGATTTGTACTTTTGCAGAATTTGAAATTTTCATTACTTTTTGAAATTATATACATTAACATACCAAAATTTGAATACAATTAAAGCACACTATCCATGATTTTAAATCTTTTGTGCAGATAATACAGAAGCATCTGACACATACCATTAAAAACAGATAAAATAAAATATATTCTTTCTGTTATCTACCTTTCATCATTGCTGAGAGCATTATTTTCAGCCTTTAAATTGTAAATTCTTGCTGAGCCTTGTAAAAGTTACATGGACTCAGTCTTTTTATAGTCCAATTTGAGCATGTTCATATCGAGGAGAGAATCTAGTTAAGTTTCTTATTTCTCTTACAGACAAAAATATAATTAAACTATTGTAGTTTATTAAGATTCTAAATTAACAGTTGGCACTGACAATGAATATTTATTAAACATTTTTTTTTCTAACTGATATCCTCCAGATATGAATAAAACTAGAATTTTCAATCAACATGATGTACTTTCCATTCAAGCAATTTTTCTGTAAATTTATATAATTTGCAATTTTGGCAAAACTCCTGAACTAGGAAGTGGAATGTCAGATTTTTAGAGCACGGCTCTACCAGCTCATGAAATGTGTAGAGTTTGGACACATTTCAGATCACAATTCCACTTGATTTCACTTTCACATAGTCCTTGAAATGCTACTTATTTGAACATGTGAGCAATGGGAAATCTTATTTTTCAAAAGGGCAATCAACCAACACAAGAAATTGCTTATTTGTAACTAGTTACTGAACAGCTCTCTATGA